AGTGCTGCTGAATCATCAGTATTGGATAACACTGAGCTGCATCAAAGTTGTTAATGCATGAAAAAAAAGGAGAATGCCAAAAAAACTAACATCCTCTTCTCTTTGAGCACATTGTTTCAAATGTAATCAGGCATTAAGTAACTTCAAGATCCTCAAAATGCTTGAAACCAATGAAGCAGTAGTCACTACTGTAATATGGGCTACACAGCAAGTTCCCAATAGGAGTTGTAAAGTTGGTTGAAAGAATGATATTGGCTCAGACACTGCGGAAAACTTGTTTGTATTTCATGGATAAAGCTCAAAACATAGAACTGTACAGCACAGGAAGAAGCCCTTTGCCACATGATGTTGTGCCGAAAATGACGCCTAATTAAGCTAATTCCTGCTGCTTGCCCTTCCTGACATATTCATGAGCTTATAGAACAATGTAATACCCTTTTTCACATGAGATATCTCAATGTTGCAGTAGTCCTTCAGTGCTACACTGGAAGATTTAGTCTAGATTACATTCTCAAGCTTCTGGAGTGGGACTGAACCAACACCTGACCTGGATGGAAGAATATTCCTGCTGCAGTTTCGTGGCAACTTCAAATCTTCCTTGCCTTTTTCCATTAGAACCAGAAACTGCAATACTCTGGAGGTCAAATATTTGTTGTTACATAGTCCATGTACTTCCTGATCAGTAATGCAGTAACATATTCCATTCATATGAATGAGACCAACGCAACATTGGAATTACAGGTCTTGTTGTAACATTATTCCTTGTATAAACTCCCTTATGGTACAATAGTGTTTATTTTACTGTGCTGATAATCTAGACTAAAGAAACTTTAGAACAATTGTACTGAAATGCACTTTAGTTCATCACTGACAAAAAATGCAATCAGCCACAAGTTTGCAAATGGCCTTCATTAAGCAAGACACCATGGCAGCTTTGTTGGGATGGATTTCAGTGAGACAACGACAAAGGCTCACTTGAAGCAGATCCAAAACAAAAGTAATAACCACAGGCATTGATTGCAGCTGACAGAAACTGCACATTCTGGCTACAGAAACTAATAGTTATAGGTCACAAGCATACACTGTGACCCCAAAAACAGAAATTAGTATGGGATTCATAAGAGAGGAGCAAGCAGCTATAGCTGATACAATACAGAACTGATCGACACAAAAACAACAGACAAAAGTAAACTGGGGTCATTTTTTTTGTGAAAAAATGGATGAGAGACTGAATAGCCTCAGGTTCAAGGTGTGAAACAAAAAGGAGAACAATGCTGCTGCAGTCACAGGCTTTGAACTTAAGCAAAAGCTCATTAAACCAGAGGATCATAAACCGTAAACTCAAAGAAACGCTAAACTTCATTTATAAATCAATACTGTCATTGTTACAAAAGCAAAATAACTTTCATAGTCACACTGGAAGCTAAAAAGCCATTGGACAATCCCCTCAGGAGCAGGGGAATTATCATCCACTTTCTAGATCAATCATTCTCTTTTAATTAATACTTAATAAATCCCAAATTATCTAGTGATGATCACTTTCCTATTGCTGAGGACTTGTATAAATTAGCTGTTCATTTTCTTATAATGGTGATCACACCTCAAGTATTTTATTAATTATGAACTGATTTGGACAACTAGTCTGAGCAGAAGACAAAGTAACTGCAGTTGTCTATCACAACTTCCAATCCTCCCTTCACCTTCAACAGAGCATCATCTCCTTAACAGTAACAGGATTTCCAACCAGATCCCACCCAAGCCCAACACAAGTG